ACGGTGATGACTGCATTTAACCTTTTCCTGAAAACTAAACCAATTCAGTCAAGATGCTAAGTTGAACCTCTGACCATTCTGCTCTTTTCAACTCTTTTACTTACTAATAAATCACCCCTCTATCTTTCTTTCTTAGACATTTATTCAACAAATAGTTATTGAACATTTAGCATATGCTGGCCCTTGTGCTAGATACGAAGCATACAGATGTGAGCAATCCGACAAGGGCCCTGTTCTCCTGAAGCTTATGTTCTTCTTCGAGGGGAGGGATCCTATAGACACACAATGAAGTAGGTAAACAATGCACAGGTCTATTTCCGGAAATGATGCATGCTAACAACAAGAGACAAAAGTAATGCGTCATAGAGACTGATCTGAGAAGAGAAAGCTGCTTTAGCCTGGTGGTCGCAGAAAATATTTCCATTATGACGACAGTTGCAGTGAACACAAATGAAAAGCACCCCAAGCAGTGCGAAGAGAGGGGAGAGAATTCCTGTAAAAGTGACAGCTGGCCACAACTAACTCAAGATACAGCAAAAACCCCTGACAAGCACCACCTTAATTAAGTGACAAAGGTTAACCTCATTAGTGATGCCACAGGGATACCATGCGCCCCTTGACACATTATGACTTCTCCTCTCTAGTATTCTCTTTAAAAGCCCACAATCCCAGTCTAATCATAAGAAACACAATAAAGAAAACCAGATTGGAGGACATCCTGCATGAGACCCGGGCAGTATTCCTCAAGACCATTACGGTCACACCAAAGAAGGGCACTAAGGAATAAACTCTCACAGACCAGAGGAGGCTGGGGAGACATGACAATCAAACGCAATGTGGAACCCTGGATTGGATCCTGGAAAAGAAATAAGCTATTCATGGATACACTGGTGAAGCCCACACAAACCTGAGTTAAGTTAATAGTAATCCGTCAGTGTTATAGTTTGTTCCTTGTGGCAAATCAAAGATATTAACAAGGCAGGGAACCAGGGGAAGTGTAGATGGGAACTCCCTTTACCAAATTTTCAACTTTTCTGAAAATCTAAAAATATTAATATAAATAGAAAGCTTATTTTAAAGAAAACTAACTCAAGGGACCTGAACTATAGCTTATGCATTAAAAATTCATGATTAATATTTTCCCCATTTTAAAAATGAGAAAAGAGGGGTTAAAAGTGTCTAAGTTCCTAAGCCAGTGACAGAGCCAGATGGTGACGTGTCTTATATCGGAACCAAAGTCAGTGTGACGGCTAAACCATTATCCCAATAACTATGCTATATCTTTCCTGCACAGGAAGGAATTCCCTTATTTGCTATACAAGGACGAGGACTCGTATTTGTATAATGGCAGTTTATAAAGTGCTTCTAGATCTTATCAATCATCACAACACCTTTAAAGCAGTAAGGCTGGGGTTATTAAGCACCACTTTAACTAAATAGGTATTTAGTGTAAGAAGACTCCGAGGCTGGTAAAAGAACTAAGCTCTAAACCTAAGACTTTCGACTCACATGTTTTTTTCCACAAGACTCTGTTACCAAGGAATAATGTTGCCTGTAGTTAATAAATGGCTGTGCTGCTGTGTTTTTAGTTCCTTCTTTTCTGAAAATAAAGGCTGTCTGCTACTTTATGCAGGCTTGGGGAGATATCAACTGATTTACAAGATGTGGGAGGACAGTAAGAAGTAGCTGTCAACCCACTGTTCATACTAATTACCCAAGAAAAGACACTTTGTGGTTTTCTTCGCTTGCTATGATTCCCCCTTATATTTCTGGCCTGAGTTCTAGTTTTATCTCTGTCATTAGCACCATGAGCTGGGTAATTCCTCTATTCTTCCAGTGTCTGCTTGTCCATCTATAAAAAGGGAAAATGATATTTTGCCAACAGAAGACAGAGTAAGTAGCATATCAGAAAACAAATGTAGGCCTTGCCAGTTTGGTTCAGTGGATAGAGCAACGGCCTGCGGACCAAAGGGTCCCGGGTTCAATTCCAGTCAAGGGTATGTACCGCAGTTGCAGACTCCTCCCCAGCCTGGGCCCTAGTCAGGGCGCATGCAGGAGGCTACCAATCAGTGTGATTCTCTCACGTGGATATTTCTCTCTGTCTTTCCCTCTCTCTTCCACTCCCTCCAAAAATCAATGGAAAAATATTCTGAGGTGAGGATTAAAAAAAAGAAAGAAAAGAAAACAAATATACTTGGAAAAAAGTAGACATAGAGAGAGAGTACAGAATTATTTTATTCCTTAAATTTATTAAGGAATACTGTCTTTGTCCTGTAATGGTCTTAGTGATTTTCATATTTTCCACATTTTTATATCACCACCTACATTTAGCTCAGTGAAACTTAGACAAATATTTAATGTTTGGAAAGGACAAGTAAATTACAGTTTTGAAAGGATGCACAACTCCTCAGAAGAATAACAATAAAAAGTATAAATATTCATAAAGAGCTGAAGAAAAGTCTCTGCATATTACAGTATAATTAAGATATATTACATAATCCCCTCTAAAGTGACATACACATAACATACACTTCTTTATCTAGAATGGCATGGTCAACATTTAGGTAGTTTCTGAAAGAAGTCTGTGAACATATATTATTACAAAGAAAGCAAAAGTTAAAAATATTATTCCTTTTACTCTGATGGTGGCTATGTATATCTAACAGTAAATTATGGTGACTTTAATGCTGCAGGGACTTTGGAATTTAAAAACCAAATATATTTTTGGCATTTGATCCTAAGCTTAATTATCTCTGCCCAAGGCAATTATAGGATCTTTAATGAGCACTGATATCCAAAACAGTAAACTGCGATAAGGACAGTTTTAATGAACATAACAAAAATGATGTACTATGGCAGCTGGTGGGGGAAAGAAAGGCAGGTTATAGAGTTGAAGGTAAGGAAAATACAGAAGGCAAGATCATTTCTCCTAAGGCACATCCCAAAGAATAAATTTAATGTAATAAGTAGGCACAGAAACAAAAGGGGAATTAATAAATGCCAGCCTTCTAAATAAAAGGTTGTGGTGATACTTGTTTTATTAATTTTAACTGATAATACCATGGTTCAAAGCTTCATATGTCTAAGTATGCTAAAATCTTAAACCAGGTCAAAATGGGAATTAAATGGTAGGTTTACTTAGGGATTTCTTTGGGTGGAGAAGTATAAAGAATTCAGCTCCTCAGGATTTATAGTTATTTAATAACTTTTTTCCAGAAAGTAAAATCTCACATGAGGTTTCTAAGTGAAGGGAACAGTAAAGGCTTCTAGCTGATGAGGAAATACACAGACGGGATTAAAAAAGAAAGAAGAAGAACTCACAAGTCTGTGCAAGTGGATAGAAAATTAACATATGAGTTTTTAACTCTGGCAAGAGAACAAAATATATTTAGGGATTTTCAATTTAAAAAAAAATGGAGGGCTCTAAGCGATCAATTAATTAATTCAGCTATTCATTCAACAAATATTGTTTGGCTCCCACTGCACATCAGACTGTTCACTAGATGTTAGAAATGCAAAGATAAAGAGCTTATAGATCAGAAGGGGAAACAAATTTATATGGAAGTTAAAATAGATTTAAGTCCCTCAGCTTGAGGAAATTAAAGAAAATGTATCAGAGGAGGTGCATCTTAAACTGTAAGTAGGAGTTTTTCCTGTACAGAAAGCAGAACAAAAAAAACAAGCGAATAAAGACCACAGCAGGTGGCACACAGCAAGTACGGGCATACCGTGGAGATACTGCAGCTGGGTTCCAAGATGAAGCGATAAAGTGAGTGTCACAATACACTGAGGCCCAGGAATTTTCTGGTTTCCCAGTGCACATGAAAGTTTTGTTTATTAAGTATGCAATAGTATTTTCTATATAAATAAAAGCCTAAGCGACTGCTCAGACCGGACAACCTGACAACTGGCTGGTCACTATGATGCGCACTGACCACCAGGAGGCAGATGCTCAATGCAGGAGCTGCCCCTTGGTGGTCAGTGCGCTCCCACAGCCAACCTCCAGCAGTCCCTTCCCCTGGCCAGCTGGCCCCAATTGCCAGCCAGGCCGAGGGACCCCACCTGTGCACGGATTCATGCACCAGGCCTCTAGTGTCTAATAAAACAATGCACATGCCTTAATTTAAAAAAAAAAACACTTTATTGCTAAAAAATACTAACCATCATCTGAGCCTTCATTGAGTGATAATCTTTTTGCTGGTGGAGGGTTTCACCTTAGTATTGATGGCTGCTGACTTATCAGGGTGGTGGTTGCTAGAGTTGTGGTACCCTGGCAATTTCTTAAAATAAGATAACAATGAAGTTGCTGCATCAATTGACACTTCCTTTCATGAAAGATTTCATGTGATACTGTTTGATAGCATTTTACCCACAGTAAATA